GCTCAAGGTAGATCAATATGGTTCACTTGGGTCAGCCCATGTGGGTAACTCAAGTGGGCCTAAGAGCTAGGCTAGCTTTGGTAGACCCTTGAGCACCCAATGAATAGTCTCAAGGGATTTGGGGGTCATATGTTCACCTATATCATATGATTTAAAAGGGAAGACTCATATAGAAAGCTTGGTCAATCTAGGTTGACTTGGTCAACAAGGTTGACCTTGACATTTGATACACCCCAACTCCTTTACCTATATTACATACATGGCACGCAATTTAAAATTCTGTTACATACACAAACCAATACACATAAGCCTACGGTAAGCAAGCAACAGTCTATGTGAAGGGATTGAGTTTGTTATTCCAATCGTTTTAAAAAGCGTATGAGGCGGAAACCTTGAGGCGAGCCTCGAGTCGAGGCGTGTACTGGGCGGACTAAGGAGTAAGCCTCAAGTGTTTGGGCAAAGCATACGCTTATTTCAACTGAGGCGTATGCCTCAGGGCACGAGGCGCCGAGGCAAATGAGGCGCTGCCTCGTCTCATTTTGTTCGCCAGACGCATAACTAGAGCACCCTTATTAGACTTTGGGCTTCTTCTTAGTTCTTATAAGCATTTCTGCCGCTCTCTCTTCTTTTCTCATTCCCTGTTTCTTCTCGTTTGCTCGTTCTCTTCCTCCGACTTGGACAACAAAGTTCGATCGAACGTTCGGTTGTGGGGACCGGTGTATTCGTTTTAATACAATCATATTAGGCCTTCAAGACCTATAATCAAGAGAATTCACTAAATAAAGCTATAAAGCCTACGAAACTCGATCCTCTTAAGCAGGTAAATAGGAGTAGACAGGGTTAGAATCATCGGATAAATATGCGGTCACGAAATTGACCGGAATATTTATTTTGTACATTCATATTAGGCTTTCTAGGTCTTTAACAAATAAAATTCATAAACAAGGGCATGAAGCTTACGAAACCCGATCCCCTATCAGCAAGTTGATAGGGTCGACAAGGTTTCATCAATGAAAATGACCCTAAACACCCCGATGATGACCGTGTTGAACGAAGATCTCAACCGGAAGAGTTCACAAATACTTTCAAATGCATTCCAAGCTACACCCAAATACCCACAAAATCCAAACTCCACAAATCCCAAAATCCAAATATTTAAAACAGAAATCTAACCATAAATCACTTAAAGAAAAATCCATCCACCCTCCACAACAGTTTGCTAGGGTGGACAAATCAAAATTTACTTCAGCTCACATAGAGCTAATGCCTAGTCGAAAATATCACTAGGATCCATTCTCAAACAATCTCCTGCTAATAAAGACTTGGTACGTGTCCTCTAACCGGTGGTTTTATCACCAAATGGCACTGCAGGATAAATAGTTATAACTCGGGGCCCTCTGAACCGAGTGGTTTTGCCACCAAATGGCACCACGAAATACCGGTTATGGCCAGAGTCAATACGCTCCTTAGCAGCATCAAATCCTTAAGATATGAATCAATAAGATATAATCGATAGGGCACAAAGCTCTCTATTAGCTAAAGTGGATTCAAATTTGCCTCCTTAGGTAAATATTCACCCAAAGTCTATAAGGTCGCTATGGACGAAGCAACCCATGGATGCCGACAAGGATCCTTCTGTCAGGTTGGGTCGACTACCTCCTCTGACTAAGTAGATCAGGGACCACGATGGCCCGGGATGACAGAACCATGGGATCTTGATCGGGTCCATCATCTATTCCCCTACCATTCATTTTAAGTGTAAGATGGTGAAATTTCTACTTTAAATATCAAACTTCCCAAATACCTCTATCCAAATTCTCAAACATCCAAACTTTACAAATTCCAAAATCCAAACCCATGCTGTTACTATATGCCGTAGACCACATATCTACGGATATGATGTATTCATTGACGACTAGCCTTAATTGAAAGTTCTTTCTTGTTAAAGGGAGGGTAATTAACTATAGAGGCTTGCGCCTATAAGAAACTAGAACTAGGATCATAAAGTCCTCACAAAATGAGGGCGAAATCTCTGGGTAGTGTCTTATCTACAAACCCATCTGCCTTACAAAATTTACCCTGGAACTATTTCTGTTAAACTCACAGCGGGCGGAGGCCGGGGACGAATTTTCGGAGCCCACATCTGGATCCATCCTTCCATTAAATTCCGGAAGTTCAATCTTGATCCCACGGTCGTGAGATATGTTTCGATGATTCTGGCCAAATGCTCTTCTTCCAGCGTCGTCTTCGCTATTGCTTTCTTGATAAAACGGATTGATGTCGTCTTCCTCATTTGAAGGTATCAACGTTTCTCTTTGCTCACATCTAGCTAATCACTATTGTAGTTGGGCAATCTCCTATTTCAAGTCTTCGATCAAGACTTCTTGAACTAGTCTTTGAGGGTTCCGATGAGGCGGCATCTTGCCGGCTTTGATACCACTTGACTCCGGACCCTCGAACAGGTCGCAGAACGATGAGTATTCTTCTTGCTGTGGACTGAACTCTATAGTGACTCCGGCGATTGTCACCAATCCAGCTCCCCAACGGACAACAAGAACCACCACCCGAATTAATTCAGGCTACAAAACCTAAACTAACCACCACCTGGCGTAGTCAGGATACAGAGACATCTCACGGACAAGAGGAGTTTTACGAAATCAATCATCTTTCTTTATTAGGCTAGAGCACTATTATTTATACACAATTATTAGCCACATATATGGCTACATTTAGCAAGAAAAAAAAAAGAGCACTAAAATTACAAATACTGAAGTTATACTGGACTGTTGTTGCTTGGTAGAAGGCACAGGAAAATGGTGCGCTCTGATGTCAGTCCTTCTGACCACCATCGCCATCCTACTACGGTCCTTCTGACTACCATCATCCAACTATGGTCCTTCAGACCTCCATCGTCCTATTACGGTCCTTCTGACCATCATCGTCCAACTATAGTCCTGCTAACCAAACGAACGTGTCAACACTAATTCTTCCAACTCCCACCATGTAATGCACTCTATATGATGTATATTTGCTACATCGTGTAAATGCCTTCTCTCCAAGGAAAGGCCTTATTTGTAATCAACTGCGAATACTAGTGGATTCATTAAAACTGGGCAAGGCTCCTCTCTTTGTATGTTTTAACCCTTTTTCTGCGGTTTCCACGTAAAAACTCTAGTGTCTATTATGAACACTACACCCCTCTCTTTTTATCTAAATGTGTGATGGATCTAGAACATTAAACTTTATATTTCTCTACCGCCACAAATACTCTAGGACGCAACATATGTAATCACCAAAAAAATGTTATGGAGAACTAACATGCATCAATTTTTTTATCAATAAAGAAGAAACTAGATCAATACATGTTGATCCATATTTTTCCATGCAAATTATCCTTGGAGGATCGACCAAGAAAAATAAGAAGAGTAGAACCATATTTTCAAGCATGCTAAAATTGATACATAGTTTCAATTATGTTTTGAAAATAAGCATGTAAACCTCTTAAAATTAATTGAAATGTTGTTCATTTCAAAAGGGGGTCGACCATGCAAGTTAGGGAAAAAGCACTGCTATTGAATCTTGTAGATCCTGACGAGATAAATACATGCTTAATGGGTTTTTTTCTACCATACCAAGTTATTTGTCATCTCCCATAAGCTAAGAATTTAGATTGAAACTGAATCAGACCATTAAATTTTTTAGGCTAGTAAACCAGTTGGTTTTTTTTCTAAACCAAGATATTTTTCTTACATTCATTCTAAAGATAAATCCAAAACTTATTTTTGTTTAAGTATTTAAGTTGGATGGTTGAAGTAGAGGAATGCTTTGGGTTTGTTGTGTGATAGAAAAGTACCACTCAGTCTTAAGAAAAAAATTTATAAGATGGTGGGGAGACTCGCAATGCTTTATGGCGCAGAATGTTGGCCATTAAAAGAGAAGCATAATATTAAGTTAGGTGTTGCTGAGATGAGGATGCTTAGGTAGATGAGTGGACTTACTCTTAGAGACAGGATACGAAATGAGCATATCCGGGAAAAGGTTGGTCTGTTCTAGTGACTGATAATTTAGATAGAGTTGCCTTAGATGGTTTGGTCACATAAAACGTCGTCCTTCCGATGACCTTGTTAGGAGAGTAGATGTATTAGATTTGGTTGATGTTAAGAAAGGAAGAGCTACACCTAAAATGACTTGGTTAGAAAATATTAGAAATAACCTTTCTTTATTAGATTTAAATGAGAATTAGACTCTCAACAGGACATGGTGGAGAAAAAGGATTAAAGTAGCCGACCCCATGAAGGCTTGATCTTGCTATTGTTGTTGTTGTCGTTGTTCATCACCGATGTATCTAGCCTAACATCAATTGCCATTCAACTCACTCCTAACAAGTGGCATTAGAGTAAGTTGTTCAACAAAGATCAATTGATTCATGCAATATATGGTTCTAATGGTTCTTGATTGACTTTTATCATTGTTAAACAAACTTCAACAGCAGGTGATTCTAATGACACTTTTAAGAGGTTGAGTGTTTTTTCTATACATAAAATGTATGTTAAAAAGCTTTTGTTAGAAGAGAAATGACCAATGAGAAGAACTCTTATAGGAGTGGGAGACTGTACTACGCACGAGGCTTTAGATTTTGCCCCATAATAAATCATTATAAAATATGGCACAAAAAACATATGTTTTAGGTTAGTCCAACAACGCCTCATTGAAAATATGATAGAAACAAATTGCTATGCAATTTGTCTCTCAGCAGGCTTAATTTTTTAGTTGAAAATAAAAATTTTAAATAGAATTTGACCATTGTAAATTTAAATCCTTGTTTGTAGCTCCCTAAAACAAATGCACCGCAGCCTTTTGGGTGCCTGTGAAACCACAAATAAATTAACTATCACATTAAAATGTGTAATAGAATCCTGTAAACATAAAGAGATGTACTTCAAGTAAAAAAAAAAAAATTAAAGTTTCGATGAACTAAATTAGACGATAGAATTCCACACCTGGAGCTATGTATCCACAAGAGCCAGCAATGACCGACATGGATCTCTGTCCCATTTCTACTTCATCCACCAGCTTTGCAACTCCAAAATCTGCAACTTTAGCAGAGAATTCAGCATCCAGAAGGATGTTACCACATTTAACGTCTCTGTGAACAACCGGGGGGAGACAGTCATGGTGAAGATAGCAGAGCCCTTCCGCTGCATTCAAAGCAATCTTATACCTCGTAGGCCATTCCAAAGCATTCGCTTTGCAGCTATGCAACAAGTCTCCCAAGTTTCCATTTTGCATATACTCATAAACCAGTAGCTTGCAATCCTTTAGTGCACAGCAGCATAAAAGCTTCACAACATTCTTATGCCTTATCTTCCCCAGAGTCGCAACCTCTTTTTCAAAAGCATCATCCGCATCTTGGCAGGGGTTTCCGTAACGCTTCTTCGAAGTTCTCCACAGCTTCTTTACTGCCACAACCTCGCCATTGCCGAGCACAACCTTGTAGACCTTCCCGGAAGCTCCGCTGCCTATGACATAATCCTCGTCTAAGGATTCCAATATCTCAAACTCACTGAATGCTAACTTATAAAATGAAGTTAGAGTCCATTTGGAATTCTCCCGCGCCTTTTTTGCCCTCTTAATCATTTTGTACTTAGAGAAGAACCATGCGATTCCACTGATTAATACTAGTGCTGCGAATAAAAAAACGGCTAGAAGAAGCCATAAGATCTTGATGCCGCTTCGATTGCTGTTAGTGGAACTTGCACAGAGCCCAGCTAGGTTCCAGCACAAGCCGGGGTTGCCAAGGAAACTAGTCTTGTAAGCTTCATTGTCAAATATGGGGGGGATGGGACCATATAGCAGATTATTAGATAGATTGAATCGGTTAAGCTTCAAATTTTGGAATTGAAGTGGGATTTGACCGGTGAGGACGTTGCTGGAGAGGTCAAGATAGTTCAGCGCAGTAAGGGTTCCAAGCTCACGTGGAATCCCCCCTGTGAGATTATTATTTGCTAGGTTTATAAGTGTGAGCTTTTTCCAGGACTGGATTCCAGTTAACAGCTCGCCCGTGAGCAAGTTGTTATGGAGGTCGAGCTGTCCTAGTTCAGTCAATCTTCCAAGAGATTCCGGCAACGGGCCGGTTAGCCGGTTATCACTGGCGGAGAACTCGAAGAGCTTGTTGAGTGAGCCAATCTCTGCCGGAATTTCCCCACTAAACAGATTCATGTCTATCAACAGCTTCGAGAGATTGCCAGCGCGGCCGATGTCAGGAGAGATTCTACCGGTGAAAGAGTTGTTACTCAGCTCGAGAATCCACACATGAGGTAAACCCCAAATGCCCGCCGGCACATCTCCGGAGAACTGGTTGCTACTGAGACGCACGCGATACAGACTTTGGCATTGCCCAAGGCCTATTGGAAGGCTGCCGGAGAATTTATTATTAATGAGAAGAAGCTGCAGCAGCACGCCACCATCGCACATTCCTCCCGGGACCTCGCCGGAGAACTGGTTGTTTGAAAGATCTAGATACAAGAGTGGTGAGTGAGAGCCGAGATCAGCCGAAAGTGTCCCTGATAGCTGGTTACCAAACAGCCGGAGATCAAAGATGTTGCGAGCCATGGCTGCGTTGGATGGAACAGAGCCAGTAAGCTTGTTTTGGTACAGATGCAAGCTTTCCAGATTGGGAATGGAGAAAATGTCATCCGGAATCGGGCCCGAGAGATTGTTGACCGAGGCGTCTATGCGGCGGAGGGCAGAGAGGTTGGAGAGGCCGGAAGGGAAGTGGCCCGAAAGGTGGTTGTTGTAGAGCTCGATCTGTACGACGGAGTAGAGGCTTGATAGAGTTTCAGGTATGCCGCCGGTGAGGAAGTTGGTGGAAAGATCAAGGTTTGTGAGCTTGTATAATCTGCCTAGCGCAGGAGGGATTTCGCCTATGATAGAGCAGTCGGCAAGCCAAAGTGTATCAAGGTTGGAAAGGTTGGAGAAAGATAAAGGAATTGACCCGGCGGCGAAGGGATTGTAGGATAGATTGAGCCGGCGGAGAGAGGAAAGGTTGCCAAGAAAAGAAGGGATGGTACCGTCGAGGAAATTGTAGGTGAGCGAGAGGACTTGGAGAGAGGGGAAGAAAGCAAAGGAAGGTGGGATGGGGCCGGTAAAGTTGTTGGCGGAGAGGTCGAGGTGGCGGAGAAGGGGAAGTGAATGTAGTAAGGAGGGGAGGGGGCCGACGAGGTTGTTTTGGGAGACGTCGAGGTGGGTGAGAGAGGGACAGGGTAGAAGGGAGGAGGAAGGGAGGGAGGAATTAATGTAGTTTGAGGATAGGGAGAGGAAGGACAGGTTAGGAAGACGGCAGAAGGCGGAGGGGAAGGGGCCAGTGAGATTAAAGTTTGTAAGATCGACGGCGGTGACCTCGCCGGAGATGGAGCAGTGTACACCTGTCCAATTGCATGGTGCTGTGTCGCGTGGGTTCCAGTCGGCGAGGGCGTTGTCTGGGTCGTCGAGACCGCGCTTGGCTTGACGAAGGTACAGCCCCTCCTGGTTCAGCGTCAGTGCTATGGGGCATATGTGAAGGAAGAGCAGCGTAGCAGTTGTCAAGTAACCAAGTAGTGTAAGCATCTCAAGAGGCTCTCCTGTTTCTTTGATTCGCTGTTTCCCACTCTGCGAGGAACTAGGGAGAATGGGAGCGGAGGAAGTGGATGTGGGTTTAGGGTTTAGGATTTAGGAGTGAGGTCATGGAATAAGATAATCTGCAGTCCTATTAATTTAGTAAGTATTCTCTGACTCAAATCATTCAGGAGAGTGAAAACGAAAAATGACGCTAAAGAGAGCGGTCTGTGCCGGCGTTAGGACGGCCGCACCCTTACGTCGTTGTTTCTTTTAGGTAATAGTACAAGACGAATGTTTTGTAGCTTTTAAAAATAATAATAAATGAGAGAGATTTAGGGTGCGTTTGGGACAGGTTCTCTCTTGCTTTGCTTTATAAAAAGTTAGTAAAGAATCATTTGGGGCATCACGGCACAACGGAGGTTGCAAAAATTTCGCGGCCCACGACTGCTTTTCGCAACCTACGAATTCCTCCTGCGGTTGGACTGCTTCGGAGGGTAAAATGACGAAAATACCCCAATTTACATAAGAGGTTATGTGCTCCCGCTCGATCATTTCTGCGATTCCCATACATCACAGGATCACAACTGCTCTGCAATCTCCCATTCCCACGCTGAGTCGTCTGAAGATCGCTCATCTCGACCGAAGATCGCTTGTCTCCGCTATCGAGCGAGCTATCAGAGATCGCTCGTCTTTGCTATCGCATATCTCCTGGGGGTAATCTACCCAGGCTACAACCCTTAATTGATCGGAGGTCGCTCGTCCGCTCAGGTATAAGCTCGCTAATCTTCCATGGTGATTTCCGATTACCATGGAAGTGATTTTTGATGAATCCACTATTATTTCCATCTCACATTATAAGTAAGCTTTCGATTTCAGTTTCCTTGCCTTATTTCATGAAGCTTTCCATTTGGATATAGTTTCTAGTTTTTCCTTCAGGTCCTCTATTCCAAACAAGTTTATCATTATTGTCATAGATAACGAGGTTGCCGTTTCTTTATAAGGTGAGGTAGCAATCTGAACCTTGATTTTTGGTGTTCGAAGACCACATCTCACTCCCAAAGTTGTAGATGACGAGATTGCAATCATTTCCCATAGTGAAATTGTCGTTACCCTCTACGAGGGCTTGTCCTGTGTTGAGGCGCTCATTGCTGAGCAAGTAGCTGGAGGTCTGGCCTGAGGCAAGGGCGTGAGAAGGAGTGAGAGAGAAGTAGTGCAAAGGAGAAGGACCTTGATCATGGAGAAGAAAACCATGGTTAATTAAGTAGAAAGTTTTACATTATAAGTCTTACCTGGATCAAGCATCCTAATATTGTTGGTTTGACAACTTATAATTGGTCGGTTGAGGAGAAATTGCTAATATATGATTATATGCCAAATGGAAAGCTTTCTACGGGAATTCATGTTATGTCTCCTTTTGACTTGATTATTCTTTAGCTTTGTTGAATTTAATAGGTTACTTTTGAGTATCGTGTATAATTTACTTGTTATAGGTTGGATTAAATGGAATGTATCTTCACTACTTGATTCTGGGATGGATTTGGAGTAATGTTTAGTTTAACTTTTAAAGTCAGCAAGATATGTAATGATATATATAGAGTAACTGGTAGATCTAACCAAAGAGGGTAATTACATTCTTATTTGTATCATAAAATTTTCATGTTCAATTTCTATTAGCTTAAAAGTTTTAGAAGTTTCTCAAACTTTCATGAAAAATTTGCCTTATTTTTTAATATCACTTTTTACCTGTCGTACTTGCTCCAGTCATTGTTAATCTCATATCTATTTGTTGTGAACAATTCTCTTCTTGAAGTTAATTCAGTAACAACATGGATATTATGTGATTTTATAATACAGCAATTAATATATTAAATGGGTAAACCAAAGGATGGTGAAGCATCAGCAACATGGGAGCAAGATGTGAAAATGATATTCTATGATTTATGTATAAGAGAGGTTGAACTTGGAAATCGACCAACAACTCACTTCAATAAAGAGGGTTGGTTGAATTTAATGAATAATTTAGTGAGAAAACTGGAAGAGAGTATGATAAAGTGCAGCTAAAAAATAAATGGGACCAATTAAAGAAAGATTGGAAATTGTGGAAGGATATGAAGTGTGGGTCGACTGGATTGGGTTGGGATCCTAGGAGAAAGACCATTGATGCACCGGATGAATGGTGGAAAGAAAAACTACAAGTGAATGTTGTTTCCATACATTATTATATATTTGGCTTTTTTGAACTTCATATTATAATTTTTAGTTCTCTTTAATGAATTTTGATTTTTAGGTTGTGCCAAATGCCAAAAATTTAGATATTATGCCATTAATCCTGAACTTGAACATAAGCTTGATTCGATGTTCATGGGTGTCGTTGCAACTGGTGTTCATGTTTGGACTCCCAACCAAGGGATTGACCATGAAAATGTTCGTAGAGATTATGAACAACTTGATACTGCTACTGACTCTTTTGAAGATCCTTCACAAAGTTTTGATAATATTAGTGAGTGCAGCCAGCTCAAACGATCATCCTCTACAACTTCAACTGATAGTAGGAAAAAAATTTTGGATCTAGTTTTCTACGAAGTCAAATTACACAACTTGTCAATTCATGCACAAATATCAGCTCTGGACCTAATGCATCACAGTCAATAGTTGAGGCACCATTGCTTTCTGCTGCTATTAAAGTTCTTGAACAAACAACATAAGTATTTGAAGACATGCCACTTTATTTGTTCTCCACAAAGCTTCTTGAGGATCCAATTAAGCGAGAAATTTTTATGGAAATTTGTCCGGATCGAAGAGTTCATTATCTTCGTTACTGCTACAAAAATTGTCATACTACAACAATATAGTTTCATAGATTGTTTAGAGTCATGACCTTTGTATTCTTTTTCTATAAGTAGTAAGTAGAAATACATATGATAGTCAAGAGCATTGTAGTGTCTTCAAATTTGCATTTGTAGTTGAGAGTTGGACTATTTTGAAGTTCTTAGCTATACACACATTTTTTCTTAATTTTTGCCATATTTGTTTTTACTTGTTATTAAAAGTATATATTGTGAATCATTCAAGGAGTGATTTGATTTTGACTTCCTTGCACAACATACATAGCAAAGAAATTTGACCGAGTTTGAGACTTGCATGAGTACTATTATGTTCAGATGTCTTCTCCTAAATTCCACAAACTTACATAAATTGGTATTGAGCTGTTATCAAAAATAAAAATCATATTACATTTTTGAAAAAGAGTTATTCCATCATCATATACAGAACATAGTAAGTAAAAAATTTATATATTAGACAAGCATTTGTCACTTTTTTTTCTGTTTGTTTAATTTTTTGTTCTTCCTTATTTTTAAGCATTTGGCCTTGTTTGAGTTGGGATGCCTTAACAGTGTTGTCATCCTTAGATTCTTAGAAAATGTGAATTTTGCAGAAAAAGCAATGTGAGTGTAGTTAATAAATAATGAACAACTGTAAGTGGAGACTGGCAGAGGCAGATGAGAAGGAAATCAGAAATTGTAGCTCTGCCTATCGATGATAAACTGGCTGTGTAATATACATATTTTCATTATGGTTTTTTACCTAAAAAAATGAAACATATAATAAATATATAAGAACTTAAATAGCAGCTATATACATCAACTGTAAAACAGTCTGAGCATCACAATAAGAAGCCATGGCATGGTAACTAAGCTAGCTTCTGGGTTCTACAACTGGTATGAATGCTATGATTTTACTTCTATGTTGTTTACTATTTAATATATATTTCTATCTTTTTTATTTTGTCTAAATGGATGAAAGGCTGGTTCTATCCTGCTTTTATCTGTGTAATAAACCTTGCTAATTACATACTCTTTTCATGCTAAGGTTTGAAATATGTTTATATAGTTGATTTTAATATTATTGTTACTACACAAATGCACTGCATACAATTTGATTTGCTTTCAAGTGACGACAGATATTATTCAGTTTAAATTTTTTATTTCCAAGCTTATTTGACTCTCTTGTTATCATGGAATGAACTTCTTGGATTGGACTTTGGATTGATATTGCTGTTGTTGTGAATTCTACTTAAATAATTCTGTTGAGTTTACCTGATATGATCATTTTTAAAAACTTACAATTATTTGTATGCATGTATGGAATGTAATGGGAGTACAAGTGAGTCAATCGATATTGAAAAACTCAAAAAAGTTATACTTGCAACTATATGTCTTGTAAATGAGTATTATGAAACATACATTTACAAGACTCCATGCATGACCTCATCATATAGATGAGACAGATGGATTGGAGAGTTATTGCAAGGCCATCCAATGAGGTTTCATAATATATTTCGTATGTCTCAAACAACTTTTTTAAATCTTATGCATTACTTGGAAAGTGTTCATGGTTTACATAGATCATCAAGGACAACAACTGGAGAAGTACTTGTGATTACCTTACATATTTTATCGCATAATGAATTAATAAGGTCGACATGTGAGCGAGTTCAACACTCAACTGAAACTATCAGTTGATATTTCTTTATTGGATTGGAGGCTTTAGTGAAATTATCAAGTCTTGTTATCAAGCCTGTAGATCCTAGTTTTGAAAATACCCCAAGGAAGATTTTGTATGATAATCGATATATGTCATATTTCAAGGTAAATAATATTATTATGATCTTATATGATTTATAAATATTTATGAAATATCTAATCATCTCTTCTCAATTAGGATTGTATAGGAGCTATCGATGTAACACATGTGGATGCTTGTGTTTCAACTACTGAAAAGGTGGCTTATATAGGACGATGTGGGTCAACGACGCAAAAATGTTATGGAAGTTTGTGACTTCAATATGTGTTTTACTTTTGTAATGTTAGGATGGGAGGGTAGTGCACATGATAGCCATATTTTTAAATTTGCTATACGTAATCAACAACATAAATTTTCTATGCCACTGCCAAGTAAGTATGTATTTTTGTACTATAATCAATCTCATTACTTGCTCTTTAATTAAATAATGTGCAATTACAAACATATAAATATTATCTTGTGGATGCTGGGTACCCGATGCAACGAGGGTTTTTGAAGCCATTTTCTGATACAAAGTATCATATTCCTGATTTTCAAAGAGCGAGTCAATCCATACGTGGGAGAAAAGAAATATTTAACAAGCGTCACTCTTCACTACGAGTTGTTTATTGAGAGATCATTTGGTGTTTGGAAAAAGA